ATTTTTATAATAAAAATTTTAAATCACTGATAACAAATTTTTTTGTGTGGGATGTTTACCATTTTTTAGTAATTTATAATTTTAAAACAATATGCAAAGTTTAAAACTAAATATTACGTTTTCAATATTTTATTCAAAATTTTTATCAAAAAAAATCAAAGCACATTAGAAATTAAAATACATATATATATATATATATATATATTTTATATGGTACATAATTTATTTTGAACAGTATATATATATATATATTAAATGAGACATTTTTACTTATATAATTTTGTAATTATTTCTATTTTGTTATAAAAATTTAACCATGGATCACAAAAATTTTAGTGAGACTTTTTAACAACTTTAGTCAATTATAGTCATTTTAAAAAGTTCACAGTATAGCATATACGAAAAAATATAAATTTTAATTATATAGTTAATGTGGTTGTTTAATTTATTTTAATAAGTTAAAATTTAAAAGTTACACTAATTTTTATCAAATCTTTATTATTGAAAATCATTAAATGTCATATATTCTTTAATCATATTTGGCAATTCCGTTTTTTTTATTTAAGGAAATAATGAAAAAAAATAAAAAGTCATTTATGATTAGTTTAATAAAAAACTTATTATATATTTAGATAGACCAACATATTTTTCTAAGGATTCTAAGAATGATTGTGGTGATGACACGTGGCTACAAAACAATGTTGTAATGCTTCTCCTTTAATATATAGGGGATATATATATATATATATATATATATATATATATATATATATATATATATATATATATATAATTGCATGCATAAATGTAATCCACTTTAACTTCAAATTATAGGGGATGTAAATAATATTAATGGGAGAAAAGACATAGAATGAAATGTCAGTACATTACTATATAAGAAAAAAATATTGCATAAAAGACAGTTTTAAATTATTGAAATAAAAAACGAAAAAGGGATTTACTACATTATATAAACACGTTTCAAGAAAAAAAAGTCAACTAAATTTACTAATGAATCTAATAATTTTTTTGGTATTATAATGTGACAAAATTTTGCAAATTTACTACTTAGGTTTTCTTGAAATCGTATCTAATTTTTTTTTTCGTTTTATGTTTAGATTCAAAAATAAATAGTATGAAATATATGACATAAAACAAAATGCAGACAAGTGTGTAAGTACATACATATACATAGCAGAACTCAGCTAATTATAAACGCGATTAATATATATCTTTGTAATCTCACACACATATATATATTCTGCAACGTACAATTCCCACAGCTTAGCCTTTATATAAATGATTTTAACTATACTGTTTCACGTTGATTAGTGAGAAAATATTTGAAGTTATTTCAGATATTCCAGATAATTTACAGTAATAATTTTCCAAAGGATGCTTGATGTATAATATATATAGATATATATAATTACGCTTCACATCTAATTGTGAATGTCATACATATATATATCCATCAAGAATTGAGGTTGGTAATGCGTCAGCCATGTATATTGCTGCATAATAATGTCTCCTTATTTTATATAATGTCTTTTTGTAAACATTAAGTTATTGTTCTTAGTTTTCGGTTAGGTTCAGTGATCGTCTCTTATATAAAGGGCCCTCATAGATACTCGAAAAGGCTTTTGTGTTGATATTTGTGATAATTATCCCTCCTTGTATATTTTATTTTATTTTTATACTAATTTTATAATAATAATTATACCACTATACAATCATGGTGGATTTTCTTTAACAAAAATAATCATGGTGGATTTTACCAAAATTTGCAACAAGGATATAATTATACATATAATGTATATAATAAATATATGTCCACATGGCTGTCCAAAAACTGATCACAGTGTGAGTATAAACTATAATATGGTATTAAATTTATCAGGAATCTAATTTTAGGAAATGAGACATAATAAAATATAAACCTAGCTAAAAATAAAATTATTTTTAGAAGAAAAAGAGATATTGTAGAAGGTTTTGAACTGGCCATCTAATACGTTATATAAAACTAAATACTGTAAAATTCCTTAGACCATCTTTAGTGGAAAATTCTTACCATAATTCATCCAAAATATTATTAAAAATATAAATTTAGGAAAGAGGGGATAATTATAGAGAAACATTGCTTTATAAAGAGACCGAAAAGTTGGTTCTACCGCTGTCTTTATTTTAATGGTACAATAGAATTTTAAACATATAATTTTTAAAACAAAATCAAATTGTCTTAATATACTGATTAAATATTACCTAAAGGCTAAAACTAGTGTTGAGAGACTAACCAGTGCTAAATGTTCTTAGGGTAAAACTGTTAAGTGTACATAATATGTGCGACAAAGTGTTGACTTTACATTTAGCGGAGCTCAGGAGACCTTCGATTGCTGTATATGATATTGTAGAATTATTATGTCATATAAAATCATGATTTTGGATATTTAGGTAAAATAATGTTTGAGTAGGATTTAATTAATAATAGAGAAAGTTTAGGGTAATGCATGATTCCATGTGACGTGATCGATCTATCATAAATTTTGCCTTAACCACTGCTCGGATTCCTCCACAACAAAGTCAAACTTGTTTCTTCATATATACATGTATTAAGCATTTATGCATGTATACTTGATATTACAGATCCATACATCTACACAGACATATATACACATGTATAGATTCATACATTTATCATAAACAAATAAACATCTTTGATGATATTTTCGAACATGGCAAAAATATTTGATTAAAGGTGCCTATTTTGACGAATATTGACTAATCTGAATTTATTGATTTGGTTTCTTAACGAATTCGTTTACTCTAACACTGAATTGTGCTTTCTTATAGTTAATTAATGATGTTTTGTCAACTGTTTATTTAAGTATTCCACCAAGAAAAAAACAGTCACATAGTTTATGTACAAGATTTATTTGGTTCTCTTTATTGTAATCAAGGATTCTAGGAGAAGAAAAACACATGAGACCACATGAAATTCTGTTTTTGTTTTTTTAAGTTACGTGGATTATTATAAACACTATATATGTTTGACTAATAACCCTTAAATATCGTTAGTGTGTAAACTGTAATTAACCGGTCGGTAGGAATTATGATTATTAAACTGAGTCTGCATGGCTAGTCAAAGTAGATAGTCGCAAGATTCTAATATACAAAATATTACACACATTGTTCTTTGACTAATAAATTTTAACATAGCATAACTCGAGCTAAAATTATTATCAAAATTGGTACTATCGAATAGGATAAATTGAATAATAGAGAATAATGATATATAACTCGTAAGTTCGTTTTATGAGACACAAACGGGAGAAAGACTAAATTTTTTTGTGTTTGTGTATATTATGATATTTTTTACCTGTTAGCTTACAATTAAATATTAAGAAGTAATAATGTTTCAGTCAATGAGAATAAGGCGACACAAGTTAAAAAGTATGACCAGATTAACCAAATGATCACACATATGATATACCTAGAATAGAATATACATAACAGATGCATTGCGACAAATTCATTCTAGTATAATAGTACAATGATCAGTAAATAATGAAATTAATCTGTGTTTTTTGTTTTCTCGTCAACAAGAGTATTTGGTCAGTTCCACAACCGAATGCTTTCATTAAAATTAAACCAGGGCCGAATAATTTGGTCAGTTGTATAAGCTTTGTAGTAGTAAAACGATCCATTTCATATGAGATTACTAAAAATAGGGACCCACAGAAGTCACGATGGACCGAATAATATAGGCCACATAGGGCTGGGCATTTTATCCGTTATATTTGATTCGATTCGTTATTCGTTTCGATTCGATCCGAAAATTCCGGATATCCGTAAACTTTCGAATCAAAGCAAATACTAAAATTCAATATCCGTTAAAATCGAAGCAAATCACAAATAGTAAAATTTTGGGAAGCGGATATCCGATCCGATCCGTAAATATATAAATATAT